ACCAATGCCAAATCTCAATTCCTAGTCCACGATACTCTAAGTTAATAAACCTGCACACTCACAAAGATTTTACCTAGGTGACTGACTCTTCTGCCCTCTGGTGTCTGAAGAGAGCAGCTGAACAAATCAACAAGTGCAGAAGAATTTTTAGAATCTTTATTTTCCTGTTCAGTTTGGTGATGTGAGGTTCTGACTGACATAAAATATCAAAACAAAACAAAACAAAAACAACAAAGAATGGTACAAATTAGACAAGAAAGACAAACTGGAAACAGGCTAAAACTAATAGTCTGAAAAAAAATCTCAATCTCAGGAAGATTTGTAAAAGATGATTTCAATTTGAGAATTGATCTATTAAAAATAATTTAATACAGTTTTAGCAAATAAAGATATTTATTTTACAGTGTCATTCTGTTTTGACAAGGATTTGTGTGTGTGTGTGTGTGCGCGCTGTGCTTATTTTGTATGTGTTATGTGTACACATGTGTATATGCACATGCAGCTGTGGGGTGTCCTTCTCTGTCACTCCCTGTATATGATTATCTCGGAGGCAGCCTTTCTCAATGAATCCGGAGTTCACCACTTTGGCAAGACTACCTTGTATCTTACCAGCAAGCCCCAGGCATCCTGTCTTTGGGCCTCCATTACTGGGGTTACAGCTGGGTTCAAATGGACCTGTTTTTCATGTGGCTACCAGGGATTGGAACTCAGGTCCCCATGCTTGTGTGGCTAGCATTTCATGAACTGAGTTAGCCTCCCAGTCCTGAGAAGGCATTTTCATAATTTGCACATTAGTGTAAAATGCTGCCCAATGTTTACTCAGAAGTAGAATTCAGTTTTAAACCATTCTTCTCTCCAAAGCTGAAAAGAGCATCTGCTTTCACAATGTAGATGTATATCGGAAACATGTTCTACTATCTTAAAACTATTTTGCCCTAGTTTTCAAATTTTGTAAAAATAGTAATTCACTTTTAATTCCTTTCCAAATGACTACTGCTTTCACTGTCAACTTATTCTGCTTCATTTTGAATTACCAAAACAAATGATTATCATAAATCCTCTATTTTATTGATAGAGACTAATGGATTAATAGGTGATATCATTGATTTGTATAGCCTTAGTTTTCCAGATGGACATGGTTCAATCATAAGTGGTGTACTCACTGTGAGAATTTCTTGATTTGAAAGTTTACAGTAGAGTTGTGCCTCAAGAAATACAACTTCCTAAACCTGAAGTTTCTGCAGAGTCTGACAGAACAGACATCAGGACCACCCCATGGCTAACTAGATCTAGGCTGCTTCTCCAAAAACAGTGAGAGTCAACTTACTTTAAATAGGCATTCACCTTTCCCACTTGTTTTAAAAGCACAACCTCAGCTTCTAAACTGGGCTCCCCAATTCCCAAACTACCTACTATGTTCAATAGTATTTTGATTTTTCTATTACAGGAATTCCTCTAAAGGAAAGGGATTCTGAAGGACAGCGGAGTGGGGCTCAGAAAGTTCCAGTTCCTTGTATTAATTTAGAGTTTTTTATGCCCTAATGGCCATATACTTAGGGTCTTTCTTTGTCAATCTATTTAAGACTGAGGCTTAGAGGAATGATCAGGGGGGTGAAATTCCACTTATAAAATTTTCATTTTCAAATTATAATACAAATTAGACTTTTTAAAAATCTATCACACATAAAGCATGGTGTGCTTATTTCTCTGGTTTGCACAGTTGAAAGCCCAGTTTCCTCTTATTAGTCATTGCTCTGATTAGTTTATGAGGAAAATGGGGCCTGGAGGAAGCAGAAAGCAGCCGGCATCATGGAATGGAGGACCTTTTCACAGCTCTCTGCAGCCTTGCCACAACAGCGTTCTTTCACTGGATAAAAAACCACTTTTCTTCTCTTCTTATCCATTGCTTCCTGCTGCTGTCCTGAAGGCTCTATACAAACGCCTGGACCTGCCAAGCATAACAGAGTCACACCTAGGCAAGTGCAGCCAGCTGATGCTGTGGGCTGCACCCTGACATCTCAGGGTTTGTCTAGGAGGGCTCTCTTCTCTCTTCAAGTTTTGCGATATATCCAGCAACGTGTTGGCGTTTTAAGTCTGACTAAAAGCTTTCTGATCTATCCTTTTCTTCTCTCAAAGTTTAAACTGTCTTAAGAGTTTTTGAGAAGAGCAAGGAAACACAGTTAACCAATTCGAATTCCTGCTTTTCATAGATGGCAAACAAATACTAGGAAAACATAGGAAGAAACAAAAGATATTATGTGGGGTAGGATGATTAGCTGAATTATGACAACCTGGTTACAAATTTAAATGAATATATGCATACCCCAAACTAATACCTGGGATATACAGCTTCAGTGGGAATCTTCAGAGGAAAATTAGTAACTGCATATGGCTTTTCTTAGATGTGGTATTTCTTTACATTTTTTTTGTTTGTTTGTTTCTTTGCCCTTTATGGGACTTTCTTTCCTGCTTTACCTGCGTAGCTTTTTGGCATCCTCAGTTGTGTGTTACCAAGGTGAACCTTCCCTGGGTTGAATGTACTAAAACAACACTATTTGGCTCATCCTGTCCTGCCTTAAACCTCAGGGAGTAATTACACTCCAAAACCTCTTTTCGCTTGTGTGAGCACAGCACTGAGGACCCGGGATCACTCCTAGCAACCAGGGGCCAAGGGTCTCAGCAGAACACTGGCAGCATGCCACAGGGAAATCTGCCCTAAGAAGAAAATGTATTTCCAAAAAACTTTCTGTAGCTTTCAATAGAAACCAGGTTTCCTTTTCTCTTCTCTTTTTATCCCTTAGATTTTATTACATGAGAATCTTTCAGAACCTATCAGAGGCAAGCTGGGAAGAAAACTGTCAGCTACATGTTTACTAAATGATTAGATCTTAACTTGCAATGTCTTACAAAGAAATGTATAATTGTTTTAAAATTTGATACCAAAAACTGTGGCTTGGATATCATGAATTAAGTCCTTTGAAATTTTGTCTGCTATGTACCTGCAGATATGAAGTATAAAGAGTTTGTTTTCCTTAAGTTGAAGGGCTCTTTCCAACGTGTGAGGTAGGCAAAATCTTGCTTTTAATGACAAATCAATCAGATTGAACTGAAGGTGTTATGAGATATGAGCTCCTTCAGAAATGGCCACTGAGTGAGACTCAAATGTGCATCTGTAATCGGCAACAAGCTTAGTATTATCTGTGCCTACGTTCTTTTCAAGTCTGACTCAATCTACTTACTACAGGGCTCCTGCCACTGTCGAGCTGACAGATTCTCTTTGGATGAAGGGGAAATGCACAAAGAGGTGATGGAGCACACAGATTTCGATCTTCAGACCAGCCTCCAGTGGCAGGCACTCAAATGGCTAATGATGCAGGCCATATCTCTTTCCTACAGACCTGGGGCAAATAACTAGACATCAGGATAGGATCAGCTTCTTAATGAAAGACTTTTGTAACAGATAGATACTGTCAAATTAATTAGAAAAGCACTAATGGGCTCTTGAAATTCTCAGTACAATTTCTGTGTTGGGCACTCTGGGTCATTATGATTTCATTGGTATGAAACTTGGAGTGAGAGCTGTCCATTATCACTTACTCATGGATCTTCAGCTAATAATGCCCCTCTTGACTTCCGAGGAGGAGATTCTGAAGCACTGGTATAATCCTAATTAGTGCCTAGTTTAAATGGTTTTCATCAGTAGGAACTTTATTCCATGTCATCTTTTTAGAGAAATTTAAGATTTTTGTTTAGTTTAGTTTTTTATTTTATTTTGACAATGTCATGATACTTTTATAGAGACTTTCTCTGGTATCATTCATTTTATTCTATATGCTTGTATTGATCAAATATAGTTTTTAAGATCTGAAATGTGATGATGTTATCCTACTAAGATCTGAAATGTGATGATGTTATCCTACTAAAGGCAGCTTCCTAGAATGTAGTTTTTGAAACATAAATTAAATTTACAATATAAAAGAGTATATACCTTGTAAAATATTCAAATTGTAATGTCATTCCTTCTTTATTTTGGATAACTACATACCAAATTCAGTGAATTTATATCAAATTGTGCTTGATATAAATTAAGTGTGACCACCAGAGGGCAGTTGATGCTAACTCTTTCTCTAATATGTGCTCCCAGGAAGCTGTTTGAGGCAGGAAGGGGCCTGTAGTATATACAAAGAGCCTAGGCTTAAGGAAACAGCACGCAGGATGGGGCACAGTTCAATTTTCACAGCAGCTATAGCAGAAGTGGATAATTATCATTTCAAACCATTAAAATTCTTTTGGAGATAATTTTGTGACTTGTTGATCTGTTTCAATTTTGAATAAATGTGGTTAAATTGGAAGGGAATCCTAAGTTTATTTAAAATTACAAATAAAGTTTTTCCATACATTCTTGTGTTTATAGAATATTTTCACGCCAGTTTCTTCAATGTAAGTTTCTAGTACCGTCCTTAGAAACTTTTTGGAGGGTAATGCGATTTGATTTCACTCTACAACATAGGCTGGCCTTGAACTCTGTATTAGTTTTGGCTGTCCCTGTGCCTGGATGATCCTGCCCTGACCCTGGTCCAGAATTGCAGGGATGCACCATCCTGCCTGATTAGAAAAATTAATTTTTATGGAAAATAATGATCTTTTAAAGGAAGTAAGATTACACTGGAGAAACTTTAGAAAATTCAGGTAACGTCACATAATTTTTAATGTTTTTTGTTTTGTTTTTGAGACAGGGTTTCTCTGTGTAGCTGTGCGCCTTTACTGGAACTCACTCTGTAGTCCAGGCTGGCCTGGAACTCACAGAGATCCGCCTGCCTCTGCATCCCGAGTGCTGGGATTAAAGGCGTGCCCAAACCCAGATTTCACTCTAGTGAAAGTAGAGTGCATTATCGCAAGTTGGTGATTCCTCTACGGCTCTGTCATCTATTTATTATCCATAGCATTCACCTCTCAGGTGCATATGCAGTGTGTTTATTCCTGTACTTATTTCTTTTCAGTGTCCAAGCAAAACCTATGACCCACTGATTAAATCCACCCGAGACTTTCCTGACGATGTCATCAGTTTCATAAGGCGGCACCCGGTGATGTACAAGTCGGTGTACCCAGTGGCGGGAGCGCCGACCTTCAAGAGAATCAATGTGGACTACAGACTGACGCAGATAGTGGTGGATCACGTGGTTGCTGAAGACGGACAGTATGATGTCATGTTTCTGGGAACAGGTACCCTCAAACCACACTTTCAGCCAAAGAAATTGAAGTGTTCATTAACGGTTAAAGAAAACAAAAACTTCCAAAATATTTATCTGCCAAAATCAAGTAAACATCTGTTAATGCCTTGCCAATGTTTTCTGAAATTGTTTAGCTCGTGAATTTAAATGATCATATATATATATATATATATATATATGTGTGTGTGTGTGTGTGTGTGTGTGTGTATATGTATGTATATATATATACGTATACATATACATTTACATGTACATTTATATATTCATACATTTTTACACAACAAATTATTGCCTTTTGTGATTCTCAAAATTAAGAAAAACATAATGCAATAATACTATTCAGGTGGCAATAAAGACAGCATGTACCCTCAGAACTTCACCCTGTATTTTACATGCTACCTAATAAACTGAGCATTTCTGCACTAGAAATTAATGCGTTTTAAATTCTAGATATTTTACTGGAACAGGTTTCTAAGAATGTGAAACAATTTTATAATTATTTGACTTTTAAATACTGCAATGGTTTTGCAGAAATTAAGCTTATTAGGAAAGATCGCGTCGTAACTAGGACCTTCGGGCGCCAGCTGTCCAGCCTGATTATGTTACAGATGGCAAGTGCAAACCCCGATAATCTAAGGGATGCTCCATTTCCGAGACTGCGGGGATGACTATTTAAGGGTCAGAACTTTAATTAGTATGTTATTAATTCTCATGAGCTAAATTTGATTTGCACTGGACGTCCAAAGCTCGTTCATAGGTCCTTAGCCCTTCACTATCATAAATAGCACTCAACCACTAGGTGGCACTATGTAACCTTTCCTGGGGAAAATGTGGTGGCTTTAAAAAGTAAATTTTGCATTGTAAAATTGTATTTAATAGTTTTGAACATCTTAGAGTTATTTTTTATTCTATTATTTCAACTAATATTTAAATTAGTCTTATACATTTAGTTACCAAAAATACTGTGTATTTTCCCTTTATAAGTATCTGCTCTAGAAGAGCAATGTAGTATACAGTAGGCTTCATTTTTCACTACTTAATTTGGGCAACTTTCTTGGAAAGCATCCAGAGGAAAATGTGAGGGAAAAATTTGAGATTTCTAGGCATATGCACTCAACTAAATATTGGAGCAGAAACAGTGGGGTTATGGGTCCATGTTTTTTTCAGACATTGGAACAGTCCTCAAAGTTGTCAGCATTTCCAAGGAGAAGTGGAATATGGAAGAAGTAGTACTGGAGGAGCTTCAGGTCTTCAAGGTGAGAGGGGACCCAGGGCTCCAGACAGGCTGAGACTGCACAGTGCTATTCGTGGACACTTGGTCTTTTCTCTGTTCTTCCCGGAGAAGTCTCCCACTGTTTGAATGCTCTAAGCATTGGGACAGGTCATAAGCAGGTAGCAAAGCACTCACTCCTGGTGCTGATCACAACGCCACTGAGAGTAGCCGTGGGTCACCTCTCCTTACTGCATTCTCCTAGGGTAGCCACACTGAATGAAAGCCTGGGATCTCTTAGTACCCGGATGCTTTTCTACTTTATGAATGTTACTTCGCAATGTTTCCCCAAACGGATTGAGAAAACTGGAAAAGTTTATAAATCATGTGTAGGAGTCCTGATTTACTGTACTGAAAAAAAAAATAATGATAACAAGTTATGCAAGCCACAATCCTCTTACCTCTCAAAGGGAATTAGCAGGCCTGGAGGAAGAGTTCTTTGTTTTAAATTCTGCTTTTAACAACAAATACATTTTAGTGTGGCAGGCACTCTCTGTAGCTACTCTGTGGGATTTAGAATTATTTCATGAAAAATGAGACATTAGAAATAGTTATATTTCTTAGAAAATATGTTCTTTCATGTTTTTGTTTTTTTTAAAATGTTTATTAAAAACTGTTTCGATGTAAACATCCATTGCCTGGAAAGAACTGAGTCCTCCACTGTGAAGGGCTAAAGTTAATTATCATGCTGGGTTTTCCAGGATCCTGTTTACATTGTGATGATAATAGTGGTCAAGAAGTTAACAAGAACAAGACCTGCTATCTGGCCTCTTCCAAAACAAAATCCTGGGTGGTTCCTAAGGGAAAAGTTGATGTCAAACATAAGGGTGAATGAACAGGGGCTTAGTGAGTTTCCATCATGTGCACATGTATGATAACAAATCTTCTCCAATGGGTCTTAGAGTCAAGGATTAACTGTTATCTCAGTGGCCATAGATTTTTCTTGTTATCCTCCTCTTCTTCTTATCTATCTATCTATCTATCTATCTATCTATCTATCTATCTATCTATC